CACTCTGTGGCGTCGCGCCACGCATTTTAGAACTCTAAACACAAGTTTCCATGAGGGCACACACAACGGTGCTCCAAGTCGGCAGAAACCCATGCCCAGAATTCCAATTCGTCGCACCACACAGAGCGGAGCTTCTGTAGTGCGACCTGCAGGCAAGTTTGTTATTTTATTTCCAACGGAGATACCCGCACGAGGCAACGCGCTTGCACTTTTCCAGCTGCACCTAGTTAAGATCACAGGGAGCTTCTGTGAACGTGAGAATTGCAAATGTTTAAAGGTTAAGGTAGACGCAAAGAAAAGTACACGTTTGCAAACCTAAAGGTACAACCAATGATTATGATCAGAGCGATAATGTGGAGAATATTGATCTTGTGTTGAGCCCAATGAGCCTTGCATATAAAAATAGAGCAAGGATGTTCCTTTAGTGATATCGATTTGACTCACGCTGAAAATGGCAGACATGAAATGAAAACTGAGAATTAGGTGACGCGTGCCTGTCAATCAATATTGGTGGGCGGGGCAACCGCACTCCTACGTCAAGTTGCGGTCAATCTGAAAACCGCTCCAATTGGTCCACCGTTTTTATGTTGTTATATTGGAAAAAAAAAAAAAAGCATTGGGTGTTTATATCACCCCAATATGACGGTCTATACACTATACCTACACACGTCTGTCCAAACAGCTTGAAAAGTAGATTTTGTTTTACCATAGGTGCCCTTTAATGCTTGAAAAGTATAACATGTAGCCTCTTTAAGAGCATAACATGTGTTTTCCTTTGTAATTATTACACAACCATCACTTGGAATGTTTATCATTTTTATATTTACATAATCTACATTGATTGGTCATCTGACTGCAGGTGTGGCAAAGGTTAAATTTATACCCTGTGGTTGTACAGGAACAGGTATGTGATGCTAATTATTGCACCAGTAGAGGATCAGCTTAAGTGACTAGCTGGTCAAGAGCAAGAGTTAAAGTGCTTATAAAGATGTTATCAGATTAGACTCCCCTTTTTTGCCATGCGATTTAAACCTGACAGTGCAGCGCTGACATATGGCCGATCACAGTCTCTTATATTTTATATACACATATCTACACACATGACTACAAGGTTTCCAAGCTATGCTTTCATCTCTCTTTGTATTCAAGCTATGCTAATTTGCAAGCGGCTTCCTCGAGAATGCACAGTACCCGTTAATCTGTGGACTTAAATGACATCGGAGTGTAGGTGACCTGTTTTAGATAACCTGACCCTGACCTTGATTATTATCAAACTGCATTTATCAGTCTTTGTCGTCTTGCTTTATTTTAAGGTACAGTTCTCGCTATTAATAAACCATTAACTATGTGTTTTGGCTCCTGCTTTTGCTGTATATTAATAGTTAAGGTAATTGTTAGGTTGAGGTATTGGGTAGGATTAAGGATGCAAAATAAATTCATATGCACTTTATGTCCCAGTTTCACAAACAGGGCTTAGATTAAGCCAGGACTAGGCCTTAGTTAAATAAGTCTATTTACGCCAAATTTTTAAAAATGGCCTTAGAATAATATATTACTGGTGTGCACCTGGAAAACAATAATGACACTGATGTATTTTAAGACATCTCACTGAAAGTTATTTTGAGTTGAGACAGTTTAAACATGCAATTTAATCTTGACTAGCCTTAAACCTTGTTTGTGAAACTGGGGGTATATGTACTAAAAACTCCAGTGTTCTGATATTTGGTGTCAAACTAGACCTCTTATTTTATCTTGTCATGGTTTATCACTGATAAATGTTTTCTTTGTACCAAATGTAAACACAATAAGAATGTTTAACAATTAAACCCATTACATACTGCTAATGTTTAACGCTGTAATGCCCCAGACGAGAAATCTCCCTGCAGGTGGGCGGAAAAGCTTAGCATTAAGAGTGTCTTGGTTGTGCTCAGAGTTCAGATCCTTCTAGAACAGGGGTGGGCCATCTCGGTCCTGGAGGGCCGGTGTCCTGCACAGTTTAGCTCCAACCCTATTTAAACAGACCTCCCTATAGAGTTCAAGTGATCTTGAAGACACTGATTAGTTTGATCAGGTGTGTTTGACTAGTGTTGGAACAAAACTCTGCAGGGACACCGGCCCTCGAGGATCAAGTTTGCCCATCCCTGTTCTAGAAGTAAACAATTTTATGTAACAAAAAAAGCTATAATTTTGAAGAACTGCTCCAAAAGGTTTTACATTACAGAATGTGGGCAACATAAATACTTTACAACGTTCACATGGGAAGATTTGACATGATTTGGGAAAACTTAGTTTGTCAAAATTGTGTAAAATATCTTACTTTCGTCCTGGATGTTGTAAGAGTTTAGCCACTTTCAAAAGCCCTTCGCAAGGGTTTTCATAATACAAAAAGCAAAGGGCTGCACACTGTAAGGAACTCGGTGGATTTTCCAACTGTTAAAGAGGGGTTTAGGGAATCATTTAGATTAGAGAAGATTGAATTAAGTACAGACACAGAGCATGTGCAGAAAGGATTATGGCCGGCTGCCAGATAAGATTCAGATTAAAGTGTGAAGCTTACATTCACACCGTTCTTTTTAAAGCACTGTTATAAATACACACATTCCCACATCTGTTTGAGCCACAACTGAGTTTTCTTGGTGAAAAAATGTCTACTCTCAATTTATTTTAATTATGATTAGGCCCAGTTGCATCAAAGCTCTTAAAAGGAACACATTTTACAAGTTCTCTTACCACTTGAGTTTTAGCATTTCTGAATCCATTTAGTCAATATCTGGAGCTTAGCTTAGCATAAGTCAGGGTTCACCAATCTTGGTCCTGGAGGGCCGGTGTCCCTGCAGGGTTTAGCTCTAACTTGCTTCAACACACCTGCCTGGATGTTTGAAGTATAACTAGTAAAGCTGCGGTCACACTGGGCTTTTCCTCCCATAGACTTCCATTCATACGCACGCGAATGCATCAGACCGGAAACACAGGGTCATGCATCACGTTTCGCAGGTTGCTGCAGTGGAAAGTTCAAGCTTGGTAAACTCTGACCTGCGAAATCGAATGACTTGACTGTATGAGACCAATCGAGGATCAAAACATGGCCTCTCTGGACAGAAATTTAAAACATGGAGCAATCGCTCGCTTTTTTTAATTTCTAATAATCTTGTTTAATCCCGCCCCTTTTCGCAGAGCCGTACGAACAAAATTTCGCAAACTCAAACTCTGGTGTGATTGCAGCTTAAGACCTTGATTAGCTTGTTCAGGTGTGTTTGATTAGGGTTGAAGCTAAGATCTGTAGGACACCGGCCCTCCAGGAACAAGGTTGGTGTCCCCTGGCATAAGTGATTAAATCGGATTAGACAGTCAGCATCTCAATCAAAAAAAATAAAAATCCCAAAAATATAATTCACATTTAGAATTTTCCTATTTAAAGCTTGACGTGTCTGGAGTAATATTGTGTCCTAAGACGGACAGAATCTGAAAATGCCGGAATAAGAGTATATTTCTTGTTTCCTATATTAGAAAACAGCAACTGTTCATTTTCCATCTGTCTTTCTTATTATACAATGCAACTTCAGAAGCAGCAAGCTTTAAATAGAAATATCAAAAATTTTAAATTTGAGTATGATGCTAATGGTCTAATCAGATTCAATGATTTATGCCAAGCTAAAAGTGCTCAAAATTCAACTATTTAACTCCAGGGGATTTGTAAAACAAGCCTATTCCCAAAAAAGTTGGTGTTCCATTAAGTGGCTTCACTGAGGAATGAAAGAGAGAAAGGAGGAGAGAGAAAGGAGGGAGGAAGGAAGGAAAGAGAAAAAAAAAAAAACTTTCATTAAAACTGTTGCAACAAACTTCTGGATGGACACCCTTACCCAAGAGCCTTCACTAAACGTTCCATTGTGGCAACATTTTGCAATAGGTGATGCTGTAAAGCTACAGCATCTCGCAGTCAACGGAAAGCAAGAAACCATGAAGCCAATCTGAAAACTACAGTAGTGTTAAACTACTGAGTACTGTTGTATTATTGAGTACAAACAGCACAGAAGAACATATTGGTAGTTAAGAGAACTTGAATAGCTCATATAAAAATGCTAATTTTATTCGCATTGCCTTTAACAGATAAAGAAACTCAAAAGACGAAGTATACTTCCTTCCCTACTATGGATGTCAAAGGCTAATTATTTGCCAAAATCTCTTATGAACAGAAAAAAATTCAATCAATTTTAGACCAAGGAGTAATTTTCTTGTTTGGGGTGAATTATACCTCTAATAATAATAATAATAATAATAATAATAATAACAACAAAAAGTACTTAATTGAGTTTATTAGGGGTTTTTCCCTTCTTCTTGCAACCCAAAATTTAATAAAATAAAAAAAAAAAAAAAAAAAAAAAGTACTATTAACTTATAATCAGTGCCAGACGGAATCTGCGGACATTTTTTGCTATTTCTGCAGAGAATTGATAAAATCTGCAGATTTCTGCTGAATTATTTTGGGAGTATTATAACTAAAACCTTAATACATGAAATAAAAAGTAATAAATTACTGAATAAAAAGATTTACTCAAGTAAATAAACAGAATTAATGGGCTAAAAATCTGCAGAAAATCTGCGCGCACAGATTTCGTGTGGGCCTACTTATAATTAGGATTTCTTAGCTGAAGCAGCATCAAGCACCATCCTTAAAGAGAAAACCTTAATAAAACGCACATCTTGATCTCTAGCTTAAAATGAAAGTGAAGCACATGCCAGCGCAAGAGAATTTAAGACTCGTTAATTCTTATTCTCGTTAAAACTTCAGTCCAGATCGTATTGTGTCAGGACCATGCTGCAGGAAGGAGTGGATTTACTGTAGATCAGCTCCAAATACAGTTAAGTCAGTTACTGCTGGCACTTGCAAACGGATGAGAACAAGATAAGGTGCGGTGCAAATGGAAAGTTGCAAATCTAGGCAGCCGTACCACCAAGTTGACAAAAAGACATCTTAATCTGAATTATTTTTAGTAAGCACTTTTTTTTTTTTTTTTTTTTTTTTTAAATAAACCTTAAGAATATTGCCCAAATGTTTACCTTACTGTTCCTCGTGTGAAATCTACATTGAACATTACAAGCTTCTTTAAATAATGTTCAATATGAATGTATCCTGATTTCAATGCAAGGATTTTCATTGATCACTGGTTTGAGGTTTCCAGTAAAAATTCAAAGTTAGTCACCTACCAATCAGCAGTGAAAGCACGTTACAAAAATAACCAGTGTCCTGATAAGTTATGAGCATGTCTACTTTGCTTTCAAATATCAACAGTTAACTTAAGCTTTCATTATTAGGAATACATTCAAAGTAGACTCTAGCACTGAGGTTAAGAGTCCAGAATAGATGAATCCTTACTCTTGTATATAAAAAGGAAAAAGTAGCGGACACTTCAGTTGATCAGTAGTAGTTTAAATGAACATTTAATTAATCATTATTAAAAAGTTCCATGTTTAAAACAATTCATTAAACTTAAATCTATAAATAAAGGATTGTAAAACTGCACTTTTTTTTTTTTTAAAACAGATCTTGAGCAAGTTTTCAATTCACAACATAAAATCTAAAAGACCAGGGTAAATATACCCAGTCACATAAAAACTAAAAATTTCAAAAGTTGTCGTCCTCAAGAACGTCGTCACGCTTCTTAAGAACAGCCCGGTACAGAGAGGTTCCTCTAGCCTGGATAAACGTAACGGTCATCTGTTTCTTATCAACCTCAATGTGAGCAAAACCACCCAATGTTGAGGCATCGCCATTGAAGAACTTAAGGTAGCCTTTGGGAACGCGGTTGCGGTGGCGCACATCAGGATCCATAAAGTTACCAGCTCCACTAACTACATAACCAATACCAGACTCCTTGATGTACTGGAAAACAAAGCAAGAGGCAGAATGTCAGATTCAAATTAATCAAAAAAAGTTTAACCTTAAATTGATCAAAAAGGCTTGGAGGAAAATTTGAAAATAGGCTAATTTAACTCAAAGGAGGAGTGCCCAAACTGTGTTCTAGATGGCCAATGTCCTACAGGGTTTAGCTCCAATCCCAACCAGACTTAAACCAACCAATTAAATCTTGGTCATACAACAGGCATGGGTAAACTGTGTCCAGAAGGGCCAGTGTCCTGCAGAGTTTTGCTCAGGGTCTTGAAATCTATAGGTAGGAGGAGTGTTTAGACCAGGGGTGGCCAACCCGGTTCCTGGAGATCTACCTTCCTGCAGATGTTAGTTGCAACTCTGATTAAACACACCTGCCTGTAATTATCAAGTGTTGTTCAGGTCGTAATTAACTGGTTCAGGTGTGTTTGATCAGGGTAGGAGCTAAACTCTGCAGGAAGGTAGATCTCCCGGAACAGGATTGAGCACCCCTGGTTTAGGCAAAGTCAGGAGGACACAAACCTTAGGCAGGAGCACTCAGCTTGAACCATTGATTTGGGATTAAACAATTTACCCAACATGACCAAAGGGGTTTTGATAAATCATTTAAATTTAGACTTTCTGCAGTTACATTGTGTACCAAGACTGAGGAAAATGAAATTATTTCCAAACCACATCAACCAAGAACTTTTCTGCAGTTGTTAGTACAGCACAGTAGTCAACTTTTGAAGCAGACCAAATCGTGACAAGAATAAATGCCGAATAGTTTAGAACGGGTGTCCAAACGCAGTCCAGGAGGGCTGGTGTTATGCATGGTTTAGTTCAAACTTGCCTCAACGCACATGGCTGGAAGTTTCTAGTATACATAGAGCTTGATTAAATGATTCAGGTGTTTAATTGGGGTTAGAACTAAACTCTGCAGGACACCAGCCCTTCAGGACAGAGTTCGGACAACCCTTGTTTAGAACTACTATGAAAGCTTTTGAACCTCTTCGTTGACTACTGTACATGCAACTACAGAAGCTCTAAATAGTCAAATTGAAACTTAAGATGCTAATGGTCTAATCCAATTTAGCACATTCCAGACAGACCCAAAGACTGGCTGAGAATTGAAAATTGGTAAAATGATTTAACGGAGATCGCTTCAAAAGAGAGGATTCCTTTAGAGACGTACTTGTAGGTTGTGATCATGGCCACAAAGGTAAGCCGTGGCCTTGTACTTCTTTAGTAATGGCCTCAAATTCTTCAGCAGGCAGTCAGTTGGCCCGTGCTCGGATATGGACCACACTGGATAATGGCCGGCCACCAGGAGATAATCAGCTTTGGACTTCGCCAAGCGTTCCTGAAGCCACAGCAGCTGCCGGTTGGCCAGTACACCACTTCGTGGAGCTCGAGGCTGCTGGTCAAGAAAGTCGTCAGAGTTGCCACACAGCAACACAGTGTCCAGCATGATGATTGTCAGAGTACTGTCTGTTCGAGGAATGCGGAAGTTCATCTCATAATAGTAGTAGGGGAAGTTCCTGGCAGATGGAAAGATTGTTAAAAGCAGCCCATTTGGAAAGAGAAGAGGGCAAAGTCAAAAAGTAAAGCTGCAATGAACATCAAGTCTCAGTGCAAATTGGCTTAAGAGCCAGGAAACTCAATTAGACATTGAGGCCTATGTACTTTGGCTCACGTACCATCTCTTTGACCTCTGGCTGTACTCAATTTGAGCTTTGACGTTTCCTACATGGTCGTGATTGCCAGCAATGACGTACCAAGGAATGTTAAGAGAATCTTGAGTGTAGACGTCTTCAAAGGTTTCCTATAAAGAGCATAGAGATATTCGATTACTAGGAAGTTACAAGCTGAAAACTGAAGCTGAACTGTGGACATGAAGAGAAAATAAGGTTTCAATTAGTGATGTGCAGATTGATACTAGAATATCAATATCTCTGATACCAGCTTAGTGTGTTCTAGAATTGATTATCAAAATATCGATATTTTAGTAATGAGCAAATATGTAGTTTATTGGAAACAAATGGAGTGAGAAAAAAAAAAAAAAAAAAAAACCCATTGCTACCCTAGTTTATCTAAAAAAAAATGCCAACTTAGGCAGAACTACTTGTTCTTCCACCTGCCAAGTCATGTGTAATATGGCACTGTATAACTGCAGAGCACGCTAGCTAGCCACACTCAGTCGGCAGATGTTCAGTCACATGGTCATTGGATATGGGTAACTGCAAGCAAAGTTTTGTGGAGCTACTTCACTTCCATAAACTCAATGTTTGTGACACGCAACAACAGCGAGGTACGGTGGTAACCACAAACCTCTTCAAGGGGACTGGATTAACATGTCACTAAACTAAAAGGTGTGAATGTTTGTTTCATGTTAAGATGTTCAGGCAGGCGTTTGAAGACGAACCTGCTCAGATGCTGTCAATGAATAAGTTTGCTCTTTTTTGGTATAATAATTCAAATCAATAAAGAACGTACAATTGGTCTCGTATTCAGTATAAAAATGACACTCAAGTACACTAAACTTTCAACTTTAATTTCCTAAACTGTCATTTTTGGGCAAAAGTATCAGATTGGTATCTCCGATACGTGCCTTTTACTTGGTATCGGATAGGAAGCAAGTGGTATTGCACATCACTAGTTTCAATAGCATGGAGTTCATTAGATCCAAAAGTACAAACAGGCATAATAACATGACACAAGAGCACTGCAAGGGTCTCTATTTCAGCTTTCAGAAGGGCATCACAAATGCCCCTTTTCTAGGTGCCATGCACCCTTGGAGCGAGAAACAAACTGACAAAGGTGGCATTACATCAAAGCAGATTCAAGTCAAGCAGGCTAGAAGCAATAGCCCTACAGGGATTGGTTCAAGCCTTGATATACATAACTTAATTGTAGTCTTAATTTTTAAAGTCAGTGTACCTACAGTTGAAGTGACCCAGGTCCAATTCAAATGTACACTTAAAATTACATTGGTTTTAAAATAGTTTGCCTTTGTACCAAAACATGCCCCCACTACATTCTAAGCATCATGGAACATTAATAAAGAGGCTATACAGGAATTGGATGTAGCATGCATGGGGGTACAATATTTTAAAATTATATAGTCATCTAACAAACACAAGCATCTCCCATATTACAGGCTGTGGTATTACCACAATGGATGGCTCAATAGAGGGAGTCCATTTTAAATGCTTCTTGCGTGTAAAGGTAAGGTGCTGATCTGAGGTGTATATGGATTAAGTAAACTTAATATTCGAGGTGTTGCATGTTACCATTCAAGGCGTTAAGTGGATAATTTGCAGATCAGAAAAATCTAATAAAAAAAAGAACCACCATTTCCAAACTGTCACCTAATATACAATGGAGGATGCCATGATTTAAAGTCTGGATTTGGGCTCATAGGACCAGACTTTCCTTGTAACACCATGTACATGCACGTAACATTTGTTAAACTAAGATTTTTTTCAAATGGACATGCCAAAAAGCAATACATAAACTGCTTACAAAACTACTCGTTTAAAAATAAAAAATCCTTGGACCTTAATTCGCTAATCCAGCTGCATTTGATTTGGGTTCACCAAATTAACAGAACAGTCATGCTCCAGTACAATACATAACCATGCAGGACTCTTGTCTCTTATGAACATTTAACCCATAAGGCCATGGAGAGGATTTAGGAAAAACAGATGTATGGATGGGATCACGTTCATACTAAAAACTTTATGGTTACAAACTACCAACAATAACTACCTACTCAAGAGTCTGCAATTTAGACAGCAACACCATAACCACACAATTCCCCCACTCCCTTAACACACCTGGTTCACTTCATAGATGTGCCATTTTTGGTAGATGGTGAAATTTAAAAAAAAAAAAAAAAAAAAAAAAAAAAAAAAAAAAAGCTGACAAAAGTAAACAAATTGCATTAAGACTTAAATTCAAACCTGGAATCTAGGGTCATTGACATCAGTGACGCCCTTGTAGTAGAAGTTGTCACCAACAGCCAAAATGAAGTCCGCACCCATCTGAGAAGCAGTTTTGGCCATCATGCGGGCTGTAGCGGTCTCTATGGGGGTCACATATGGAGGATTAGGTAGTCCACCCCAGTCCCCCAACACCAGGAACCTGATGGATGACTGGTTACCTGATTGAGATGGGAGACAATATTATATTAAAAACTCAGTCGTCAAGTTTGACAAAACTTAGAGATTCTTAAATTCCACATGAAACCAAAATTTACAATGTTTATTTTGCCAGCTCACGCTTGTTCTTACAGCAAGTCCACAAAAAAAAAAAAAAAAAAAAAAAAGGTCTTCAATAAAAACAACAACGTCTGACCATTTGCTTCCACTTTATGAGTGGTCATTTTGACGACTTCCATTTCAGCTGTATATTAATCTTTGACCACTACCCTCTTGCATTAGATTGGGATGAGTTAATATGCACGAAATTAAGCCCTGCCTCTACTCAACATTACATTTTAGTTGGAAGTGCATCAACATAATAAAATTAGTCCCACCTTCTGGCTCACACAAACTTTAAACATACTACATGAAATCAATAGCAACTCACTTCCTTGAGCTTCCAGGTCAACGAATGAGGAATAGTAGCAAAGGACCCCAGGGAGAGCACTTAAAAACACCAGCATTAGTGGTGACGCCATCTACAAAACAACATACAAACAGTAAACCACTCAATTCTCATAAAACCACACCAAGAAGTGAAACTTGCCAGAAAGCACCTACACCAGCAGCTTCTGCTCTTTGAGAGTCCTCTCTCCACACCTCATACCAAACTAACGCCTAACTTTCACATTTATATCATTCTAATCACCAATAAGCCACGCCCTCATTTCAGCTACAGCTGTTTTCTCTTAGTAAACTAATCAGCCTGATCAGCGTGATTGCGGGAAATCGGCAATACTCTCTTAAAGAAGCAGCTCACTCAAAAAACGAAAATCATTTATTCTGCCTACTGTAGTTTTACATTTTGTGCTTATAAAATTTTGTAGTTGTATAGTAAACGATGATAGAATTTAAATTTTTGGGTGAACTATGCCTTTAAATAAATGTATGTGCTTCTTTCAGAATTCTTTTTCAGAAATCTTTTTCTTAATTTGATTTAAATAATATGAAAATAAATAATAAATAGTCACAAAAATTACAATTTAATAATTCGTTTTTTATTATTTTACAATATATAACAAACAATTTGTGCAGTGGACAAGTTCCATAGACGTTAAAAGTAAACAAAACCATAGATGCAATCAAATTATATAAAAGTCTTTTTATGAAATGTTTTTTTAATCATTTTTTATCAGTAATACGCAACAAAGCTATTCTAAATACCAAATACCCCTTTTTAGGTTAAACTGAACAATGAAAATATTATTCACACAGAAAAAGAGAAACCATGTCCTGACCAAACTTTTTTGAACTGTGTTTTTATAAACATAGTATACACGTAACATTTACGTAAAATGTTTACATGCACAAAAAAAAAAAAAAAAAAAAAAAAAAAAAAAAAAATATATATATATATATATATATATATATATATATATATATATATATAAGACAGTAGTAGATAAATTATACTTGTACATAAATAATAGTAACAGCTTAAAAAAGATATTACATTACATTAAATGAAAAAAGTAGATAAATAAATAAATAAACTCCAATATAAAGACAATAACTGTGTCCATTCTGTCAAAGCAGGTCAGCGGGTCTTCATCCAGTTCTCTATAATTATCTTTCTACAAGGTAAAACCCAAAAATTAAGGAAACCGATTGCTACAAATCATTTAAGTTCAAAAACTAATCCTAATGACTACTGTAAACTTACTCCATTTGAGTAAACGTAGCAATGAGCACAGTAAAACCCACAGTAGAACTCAAATCAACTGAGTGCTGTAAAACCCAATAAGTTAAGGCAACTCAAACCGTTTACTGCAAACTATGAGTTAAAAAAAACAATCTATTTGAGTACTGTGAACTTACTCCGTTTACATTAAAGTAATGAGGTATTTATTGAACTCATTACCTCCAACACTGAGTTCAAAACTCTTTTTAAATGAGTAGAATTAACTTTCAGTCAATTTTGAGTTAACACTCATTTCATTTGATAAAGTTAACTGTTGGGTTTTCCAGTGTGGGTGTTATTAATAATATATGTAGTGCAAATAGGCGAGACTTACTGGGTTCATTTTTATGTCGTACCCTAAAACTTCACTATCAACCTCCTGCATTTACACTTGTATTTTTAGACATTTCCTAAATCTGACCAAACTGTAACTGAAAACAAATATTGGTGGCTGTAAACATAATAGAAGAGTTGATAAAAGAGACTTACAATGATTGAGTGGCTCAGTCCTCAGCGTCCTCATGCTCAGCGTGTCTGTCCTCAAATATATATCAGACCCATAAAGAGATGGGAGTGTTTATGCATGTGACTTAACCATGTTCCTACTGACTCAATGACCACAGACACTTGTGACACATGTGTATGTGTTTTAGTAACATTTCCACCTTGATGCTACTTCCATCCCAGCTTAATTTAGATGCTCAAGAAACAACTATTGACCCTAAATGCTGTTTAATAATACAAATGAACATGCATTTCAATTTAAGTGTATAGTTCGACCAAAAATAACTACTCATGAGCTTTATGGGTTTATTTTTGTTTTTTGAACACAAAAGAAGATACTCTGAAGAATGATGGTAACCACTGAAATGCATAGTAGGAAAAAAAACACTGTGGAAGTTAATGGTTACAACATTTTTCAAAGCATCTCCTTTTGTGTTCAACAGAAGAAACTCAAAACTGAAATGAAGGCTGAGGACAGGTCAAGTAAAATTAGGGTGAACTTTCCTTTTAAGGATATAGACATCAATGTGATCAGTTCAAAATCAATGTTGTGACTTAATGTGAGCTTTGTTTTGTGTCTTAGTTGACAAAAGTGATGAGGAACAGATATTTGGTCACGTCAGCGGTTCAAAAGTTCCTCAATTGTGTTTAGGTTTTGTGTAGGTCGGACAAGTTTCTTCCACTCCTATAAATCATTTTTGTGTGTGTGTGTGGGTTTTGCTTTGTGCACTGAAGTATTGTAACTGCGAGAGAAAAGGGCCTTCGCTAAAAGTGTTGCCACAATATTAAAGCACAGAACTGTCTAGAAGGCCATTCTTTGAACCAGTGATCTGACCTAATCTGTTGATTATAGATAAGTGTTTCCCAATACGTTTGATCAGTGCATCTCATAGTAGAGATAACAAACAGGTATCTTAAACTGTCAATGGGACTACTCATTGTAAAATCAATCTCAATCATAGTTTCGCCTCAGACAGGTTTCAACTAAATAATGGTCAGAAGAAAAAAAAAAAAAAAAAGAGTTTTAAATAAAATTAAACAAATTTGGCTTGAACGTTTGTATTGAGTCTTAGATGGTATAAGATATGTGACCGAGGACCACAAAACCAGTCAAAAGTGTTGATTTGTTTTTTTTGACACACTATTTGGAAAATAAAGTGGTTTAAAAAGAGAAATATTAGGAAAATTGGAGCTAAAATTATACAGAATTACTAAATGATGAAAAGAACTGTGTTAAAAGTTTTGCTAAAAACTGTTAATTAGAAAAAATCCTTCAGAATTAGCAAGTTTAAGTTGCTGTCTTTGACATCAACTGATTAAAAACATGAAATTATAAACACATTTTACAAATAAATTCTACAAATATATGATACAAATACATTTACAATTGTCCCCATTTCGGGTCAGTCCTGTCACATTTGCATTCAAAATAACATGCAATGTGTGCAATACACATTTAAGGCTATGACTCGGAAGTGACTCGAAGAAGCTGACTGATCAAGCATGTGTTCTCTCATTGAATTGTATGATTTTGTGCTTGGTTTGTACATTTTTTTTGAGGACAAGCTTAAGTGACCGCCCACTTTTTTTTTTTTTGGACAATATTTGGGAAATAAAGCTGTTTAAAAATCTGCAATCTAAAGGGGCAACCAAACTTTTTTGGGAAAAATTGGAGTTAAATACAGAACAGATTCAGTTCTTAGCTTTTGCATATTACCAATCAAAAATAAATTGACAATTACAGAAGGGAATGTACAACATATATTCATGGAACATTCTCTTTATTTATCTAATGATTTTTTAGAACACATTTAATGTATTTTTAGCTATTGGGAAAAATATACCTGTGCAATATAAAACTGGTTTTCTGGTCCAGGGTTGCAAATAATATGAACAGGACACCCCATTTTGAAAATGAAAAATTTCTCCATTTCTCAGTGAATATAGGCATTGTATTTTGGTGAATGTAAACAAAACCGATTTATTAAACAGATATTTATTAAAATAATATTTTAGTCACCAAACATATTTAGAAATTGACAGATAACAATTAAATTCAAGCAAAATATTGCAAAACTAAATAACAACCTACAAAATTTCAACAACATGTTTTCTTTTTTTGCTTCTCTTAATTTTTCCTCTTTTTAAAATAGTATTTTTCCTATAACATATAAATATGGATGCACTAGTTTTTGGACCATTATGGTAAGTTATTTTGTTAGATAAGCTCCAGATTTGGCTTCATTACTGACTAAGTAGGAATTATTAATAAGTCAGAATTATTAGCCCCCTTAAATTTTTTTTCCTTCTTTTTAATATATTTTCCGAATGATGATCAACCGAGCCATGAAATTTTCACAGTATGTCTGATAATATTTTTTTCTTCTGGAAAAATCTTATATTTTATTTCAGCAAGAATAAAAGCAGTTTTTAATTTTTTAAAAAACATTTTAGGAACAAAATCATTAGCCCCTTTAAGCTATATTTTTTTTCTCAAGAATCTACAGAACAAACCATAGTTATACAATAACTTGCCTAATTACCCTAACCTGCCTAGTTAACCTAATTAACCTAGTTAAGCCTTTAAATGTAACTTTAAGCTGTACAGAAGTGTCTTGAAAAATATCTAGTGAAATATTATTTACCGTCATCATGGCAAAGATAAAATAAATAAATAAATAAATAAATGGGGGGGGGGGGGGGGGGGTAATAAATCTGACTTCAACTGTATATGTTGAACCCACAAATATAATATTGTATAGCTTCTAATTAAAAATATGAATTCAAAAGAGATTTGTGAGGGGTTTACTTGTATATGCTGAGCACTGTTTAAAGGGGCAAAGCAGAATGATATTCTCATAGCTTTTAATATAAATAATGTGTTAATAACATTTTTGCAGACTGTTTTAATAAAACAAATAAAAATATCTATTGTCACCTGATACTATTAAATAAGTGTAAACAGTAAATGCTTTGTTTTGTGAATAATAATAAGAGTCTTTACTGTGGGACGTAAAGCAATGGACTACAATGACAACTGAAAGATGAGCAAATAAATCCTTCCAAAATCCCTAAATATTTGATTATTTTAAATTGGTTTTACAAAAAAAAAAACCTTAAAAATCAATAAACACTTGGCATAAAATGTGCTCCAAAGTCTAAAGGGAGACATTTGACTTGAAACAAAGTCAATAGCATGCGCACAATTCAAAACGTCAGTCAAAAGAATCAAGAAAGCCATTAAAAATAGAAAAAAAGGTTTATTTCTTAACAGTTGCAAGATTTCACAAACAACATCCACCTCGGAGAACACAAAACATCCTGCACTTGCCTATTTCACGTTGAACCGCAACACTACATAAAAGACGACATAAAAGATGCCAAGATTGAACTCAAATCTCTTAAAACTCCAAAACAAGGAACATCTAAAGTGGTTTCAGGCAAGGAAACAAAGTCTTGCTCATTCTACCGTCCACATTCAGTCCGAAACAAACCAAAAGCTAAAACCTTAGAAGCAAAACAAAAGGATGAGAATAAATATATCTTAGGGGGAAAAACAGAGTAATGTGACAAATATCTTCCATTTGAATCACACCAACCATCTAGGCACAGACAGAAAGCAACTTCCACCATCCTGAAGTAGAATTTCCTGAAATGTGTGGTGAATCAAAACCATGCTAAACTCAGAAGGCAAAGACAAAAAAAAAGAAACAGTATAAAATCTCAAAAGCTTTCGAGTGAATGCTTTAACCTAGCAGTACACGGCAAGCTATAGAATTACAGAAAGGATGTCTGAGTTGTTTGAATAAGCGTCTGTACTGCTCAAACCTGCAGTGTTTATCTGTAAGTGTAGTCTGTGGTGCTCGCTCCACCGCTGCTGTAGCCGCCCAGGTTTGGATATGCGCTCTGGGTGAAGTTATAGCTCTGATTTGTTGTTCCAGGTGGTCCGAATGATGCTGTTCCAGGGGGTCCACTGTATGCTACAGAGAAGAAACCAGAGTTTTAGACAGCTGTGGCTTCAAGAATAAAGACTAAATTACTCAATTTACTAATTAAAACTGAAGAGACAAAATTTATTGGACAAAAACATATCTGTGAACTGATGATTTCATGATAAGTGAAAAACTAAAATGAAAGAAACTAACAACAGTTACTGAAATACATAATTGTTTACAGAAAGAGAAAGCATTTATTAAAGCATTTTTTATCTAACTGTAGTGTGCATATATGCGTTTATATACAAGGGTTGGACAATGAAACTATAACACTGGCCAATTGAGTGTTGGAAGTTACATCAATTTGACCAGCCTCGTGGACAATCTTCATTCATTGCACATTCCACCTGTAAAGTCGCGATCACACTGGACTTTTCGCCCTATAGACTTCCATTTATACGCACACAAATGTGTCAGACCGGAAATGCAAGCTTGTGCGACAAGTGTCACAGTTTGCAAAGTTCAAGCTTGGTGAACTAGGACATACAAAATCGCATCACTTGACTGCGTGAGACCAATTAAGGATCAAAACATGACCTCTCTGGACAGAAATGTAAAATATGGACCAATCGCTTGCTTTTTTAAATGTGTAATCATCTTGTTTAATCCTGTCTCTTTATGCAGCGCTGTACGACAGAATTTCGCAAGCTCAAATTCTAGTGTGACCATGGCATAAGAGCAGAGTGTGATGGGTTAATTAGCACAGCAATAGCAATGTTTTGCTCCAAATATTGCAATGCACACACTATTAGGGGTGACAGAGTTCAAAAGAGAAAAAATTGTTGTTGCGCATCTCCCTGGTGCATCTGTGACCAAAAAAATATACAAAATATAAATATACAAATGTTGAACACACAGAAATAGGCCTATATAAACACAAGCATATTGAGAACGCAACAGTCTATCAAGCATATCATTTTTATAGTGATTAATAAGTTGGTTTGATTTAATATTAACCTCATCTAAAGAGACTGGTGGACACAATGTTTACAGCAAAAGTCTATTGATAGTTTAATTATGGAGACCGGCAATCAGAGATTATTCTCAATATTCAGTTGTGGCCTGTATTTAAACATATATATATATATATATATATATATACATATATACACACACACATATACATATATATACATATATACATATACACATATATATATAAACATATATATATATATATACACATACACATATATATATATATAAACATATAAATATATATATATATATATACATACACATATATATATATATATACACACATATATATATATACACATATATATATATATATATATATATATATATATATATATATATATATATATATATACATACATACACACACACAACCACATACAATCAAGTCCGCCAAACTCAATGCATAATTAAATGCGTTTCTACCAAATGCGATTGTTGGGAGCTTCACAGGGTCAAAATACAGGTGGAATTTGCTATATCCGAACCTGTGGTCACTTGTGGCAATGACAAACATCTTCTTTAATGATACCAGCAGTGAAAATCTTGGGCTGTGGAAAATGTGAAACATGTATTGTTCTCTGACAGGACCACCTTCATTGTCTTTCCCACATTTGGGAGAGTTATGGTGTGGAGAAGCCCCAAAGAAGTGTACCAGCTAGACTGTCGCATGCCCAGAATGAAACATGGGGGTGGATCAGGAATGGTTTGGGCTGCAATATCATGGCATTCCCCAGGCCCAATACTTGTGCTTGATGGGCGTCACTGCCTAGGACTACGGAACCTTTCTACAGGACCATGTGCACCCAATAGTAGTTCAAACATTTTATTCTGAGGCGATGCCGCGTATCAGGATGATAATGTACCAATAACGCCGCAAAACTGGTGACAGACTGGTTTGATGAACATCAAGTTGAACATGGCCTTCATAGTCACTAGACCAAAATATCATTGAGTTACGAAAGGTGTTCCTCCACCAGCATCACATAGTAACCTAGCCACTATTCTGCAATGATGGCTCAAAATCTCTCTGGCTACAGTGCAGGACTTGTATCTGTCATTCCCAAGATGAAATGAGGCTGTATTGGACGCGAAAGGAAGCCTACACCATACTAATGAATTATTGTGGTCTACAACTAGGTGTTCCAGTTTTGACACCTTGTCGGCACTCAAACTCACCAGCATAATTGTAATTAGGTGGTGCTGCCATGTTCATGCCAGCCCCTTGATACCCATAGCCATAGTCTGGTCCAACAAGAGGAGCCTGTTGATTTGCTGTTTTGCTCTGGTTTTGATTCTCATTCTGGGCCTGGTCCTGGGGTTTTTTGAACTGTGAGTAGGATTGGGTGTATTGGTTGTAATAACCAGTCACAGGTGGAGGAACAGCCTGGTAGGTGGCTGCGCTGGCGGTGGAGGCAGCGGATGGGTCTGCCTGGGGATTCACAGAGGTGCTGGGGTCTGCAGGAGAAAAGTTTTGTTTTAATGCTTTCTCAATAGGCTGCATTTATTTGATCAAAAACATTCATTGAAGATTGGTTGTCACATAACTTTGTTCCGAGACATTTTAAGAGTGCTTTTATACCTGTAGATCGATTGTTTGGTTCTGAAAGAGGGATTAAAATTGTTACAATGTTGCTTTTCGTACCTGGTGCGGTTCGCTTTCACAAGGCAATTTAACTAAATGGACCAAAATAGCTAAAACAAGCCACGTGTGAGTAAACTCTCATCACATTGGAGTCCCGCTCAGCTGTCATGCATCCTTATTTTAATTTGTGACGATGAGCAGTAAGACATTAGAAGCAAAAAGCTGCGCTTTAATTTTGAATAGTGACACCTAAAGACATAGTCACAAAATATAAATCAGACTTTCTCAATCATAGTGGTTAGTAAGAATTATGCATTATAGGCTTTACATTTGAGAGAGAAATTGAGAGTCAATTTTCCTAACAGATAAACAGCTCTGGTTAATAGTTCAGCATGCTTTTACTTTCGTATTTGACATGAAACGCACATTAACTGATACGAATGATGACATCCCGCTTTACTCATAATTCTCTCTTCATATAGCCATATATGCCCATTACATATCCATAATACACCATGATAAAACCTGTTTTGTTAGTTTGTTGAATCGTATTACTTTCTCGCTAAAACTGATCTGCTCCAGAGTTCGTTTCAATCAAGCCGAGACCACCTCATTCAGTCGATCTCGGACCAATTGTTTTGGCGGGATCAGATCGCGATTGCTAGATTCACATATGCCAAAAACCACGCCAGCTAGGGAAATGGGCTAGGTTCCCTCTAAGATGCAATTTAGTTCACTGATGCTAAAGCTGAAACTTCAGCATAATTATTTCATTCTAATATGGTGATTTGCTGCTCGTAGCGCTAAATATTTTTGTTGATACCATGATTAGGGCTTTGTAATATCTATGATAACACTGTAACTGTTGTTTTAATGAATATCAGCACCATTTTTATAATTTACAGATGGGATGTTATTTTAAACAATTATTTAAGAGAAAAACAGTTAACACAGATCAAGTAACATTTTAGATGATATTGTTACTTTTTTTTAAATTTACTTTCTTTATTTAGCAATTTCTTGCTGCTATTTAAAGTTTAAAAAATTTCAAAAAGGTCCACAAATTGATAAATAATGCTATGACTGCAGTGTTAACGTTAGGATACGATTGAATTGCATCTTGTCACAGTTGTGAAATAGCTTGAAAACAAGCAGGGAATGTTCATGAGCCAATTATATCACTACATTGAAACAATTTTTATCTATTGCTATTGTACCTGTAAACTTGGTGGTGTTAAATCCTCTGCCTCGACCTCTGCCTCTACCCCTGCCTCGATTGAAAGACACCCCACCCATACCATATCCCTAAAGAAAAACAAAAACATCAAATATTGTAGACCTATTCAAGAAAAGAAGCTTCGAGAGATTCTCAAAAACATGCTTATTTACCATAGGATTGAATTTCTTTTTCTTGACCGGTTCTGGAGGACAATTTGGAAACAGCTGTTCTAAAGCCGCAAGTGCTGCGTTGGCTTTGGCTAATTTCTTATTTGATCCAGAGCCCTGAAATTTCTGTCCATCAACATCCACCTGGGAGAGAGAAAACACACAAGATTTAATAAGAACAGCATGTTTCTAAACTTAGGACAAGAGCAGCAGCAGAAAAACAGCAGAGGTTGAGAGCAAAAGAATGTTTTCAGAATGACAAGTGAAAACACATGAATATTAAAGATACAGGTGTTGTAGCTGCAGTGCATTATCTACAACTGAATGCAAATGCACAAGTGAATTAATTGATCAGATACTAGATATATTATAAAGTGGCATGCCTAAAAAGCCATGCCTATGCATCTGCAACCGTTTATAATGAAAAGAACATGGAAGCAATGTCCTGGCTTTTCTCATTCACCCTAATTAAATATTTATATAGTGGTTGTCCTTGTCACTTCAATTAATCCAAGTTCCAGATACTGTGGTGCTACTTACTTGCCCAGACAGAATATTTTAGAATTTCATCTCAGAAAATTTTTGCATACTTTCAGGCTTCAAAACATTGATTTCTTTATGCTATTATAGCTTAATAACAGCATGTAACAAGTTGCAAGTATAAAATCACAGTGCTTAAAGGAGAGTAGGTGAGATTCTAAAATGTACATATGCTGGACATACTACTATAAGACTTTGGATTTGCGATTGCCGGTGAGATTAAATAATTGACCTAAAAGTAATGACAAATATAGAATGACTGGATTATATATACATTACAAAGAACATACTTTTAAAACCTTAAAATCATAGACTAAATGATCTTAGTGTTGTTATACAGATCAGTTACAGGACCATCAGATCCAACAAAACCAAAATAACTCCCATGAGCTTGGAAGACTGAATCCATAAATCTCTGCAATGACACAAATAAATTATTAATAAAAGTCATCTGGAATGGCAAAGAAAGCTTTCAGAGATCATCAAGATGCATTGGATTTATCTTCATTGCCTCATCCTCCATCTTACACCAGACATGCTCAATAATGTTCATGTCTGGTGACTGGGCTGGATAATCCTGGAGCACCTGGACCTACTTCGCTCTCAGGATCTTTGATGTGGAGGCTGAAGTATGAGAAGGAGCACTATCCTGCTGAAGAATTTGCCCTCTCCTGTGGTTTGTAATGTAATGGGCAGCACAAATGTCTTGATACCTCAGGCTGTTGATGCTGCAATCCCCTCTACAGATCTCTCGCACGCCTCCATACAGAATGTAACCCCAAACCGTGATTTTTCCATCACCAAACTTGACTGATTTCTGAGAGAATCTTGGCTCCATTCGGGCTCCAGTATGTCTTCCGATGATTGGGATGCAGTTCAACAGATGATTCATTGGAAAATACTACCTTCTGCCACTTTTCCATTCCTATTATTTGTTGCCCTTTCAACTGGGATTGACGACCAGACCATTGTCAGGTAGTGTACTTTGCTACTCATTAATAGTTATTAAGTTAGTAGTTGGGTTTAGGTATTGCGTAGGATTAAGTATGTAGATTAAGATCATACAGAATATGTACTTTATAAGTATTAATAAACAGCAAATATCTTAATAATAAGTAGGTAATAAGCCACGTTAGGAAGAATTGGTACTTTAAAGTGTTACCAAAATGTTCTATAACATTTTGAGATTCTTAATACTTTAATTTTTTAATTCTTTAATTCACTATTTTTTTAAAGAAGTCACTTCATTTTAAGATACAATTCATACTATTAAAACAATTAACCAAGACTTGTAGTGTGATAAATTACTAATTTGCAACTTATTAGGAGTTAGTAAGGTAGTAGTTGAGTTGGGTGGGATTTGGGATGCATAATAAGATCAAACTTAAGTACTAATAGACAGCCAATATCTAATTAATAAGCAGGTAACCCATCCAGTCACATAAATCGAAAACAATATTGATATCAAAGGGAATGTTTGCATGATTTGTCAGCATATAGACAATAAGCAAAAATGCACTAGCTTCAGTCAACAGGTCTAACCTCAATAGTGAAGGTCTTGTCGTTGAAGCGTCCCTTGACAGAGACAAGCTCATATTTCAGACTTCTGCGCTTCTCATTGAGCTCCATGACGGGATTCTTGCCATGTTTGGTGAGGATGGGGCCACCCTGTAAGATGAAGTGGAACCAATCATACCAAATAAAACGTCTACACCATACAAAGGTGTAACTCAATCTTCAAAATTTGGACTAGGGCTGGA